GTGCAGAATTCATTTTTAAAATCATCTTTTTAAATGACACTTTTGTGCTAAAAAATTGGAAATGTACAAAAATTAAGCAAAAGTATTTTTTTTCATTTCAACAAACTTATTCAAGTTTATTTTTAAAAAATGAAACAAACAACAGCAATAACAACAACAAACATCAACAACAACAAACACCAACAGCAACAACGAAAGCAAACCAACAACATCAACAACAACAAACACAACAAACCGAAAACAACAACAAATACAACACACCAACAAAAACAACAACAACAACAAAATAACCACATCGATTGTAAAACAACAAAATTGTAAACACGAAACAAAAAACCATTTTATGTTGCTAATGTTTTATTTCATCTAAATAAAAATGTTGTCAACTTCAGCATTTAAAAAATTCAAAGAAAATTTTTATAAAAAGAAATGCATTTTATCGTGAAAATAGTTTAATGAACGAACTGAAAAATAAAAAACTTAAAAAAGATGAAAAGAATATGGAAAACACATAAAAAAATAAACTCGATACAACTAATGTACGAGGTATGTGAGTACAAATAATGTACACAATTTTCACAAAATAAATTTATACAAAATGAATTTATACAATCATTACATACAATACAAACATACTAAAAAATAACATCCATATTTCGTACGTATGCAAATAATGTATGTATGAAAATAATAATCTAAAAAGTATGTATGCATACAAATCATATACAAAATGTGCATGCATACAAACAATATACAAAGTATGTATGCATACAAATACCAACAATATACAAATTATGTTTGTACGTTTCATTCTGTGCGTATTGGCATTCTGTACCTGAAGTCTGGTGAGAATTGATTCTCTGTAATGGATATTCATAATGGTCAGAATTTATGTTTTGTATAATTTGTATGTGTGTGGTATGTATTGTATAGTGTGGTTTTTGTATATTGTCAGTATATTATCGTTTGTATATTGTTTGTATGTTATTGTATTTTCACATGTTTGTATAATGACATTCGCAATTGTACTTTTATGTTTGAATAATGGTGTTTGTATGATGGTGTTTTTGTATGTTTGTATAATGGCATTTTAGTATGTTTATAGGGTAATAGTCGGTAAGTTTGTGTAATGGTATTTTTACGTTAGTATAATAGTGAGTGTACCAATGTCTTTGTATGGTTCAATTTGTATGTTTGTGTGATGGTCTTTGTATATTTGTGTAATGCAATGTGTATATTTGTACAAAGAAGTTTATATGTTTGTTTGACGGTCTTTATATGTTTTTATAATGACATATGTTGGTAGTTATTATAGTATGTCGATAGCTTGGTCTCCATGTTCATAGTTATAATTTAAATGTTTTTTTTTCTTTACTTCATTCTGTTTTTATGTATGGGTTGTTTGCACGTTGTTGCAACTACTCTATGCTTAAAAATTAAAAATTTTACAAAAAACTTTTCAAATATTAAAAAATAAAATTAATTGTGAAATACATTTGTAGTAAACAAATTTTTTTCAAAAGTAATTTTTTTAATTATTGAACAAAATTTTTCTTATTCATTTTCAATCTTTCGTTTCATTAATTTCGCCCATCTATCCATCCCACCTTCCATCCATTCATCCATCCATCTACCTATACGTTTTCTGTTTTAACCATCCATTCATTCCTTCAACTCTGCCTTAATCTTTTTTCCAATTTTCATTTTATTCTTTTTAGTCTTTCATCTTAGGTATTCATTCTTCCATCCATATATCCATCCATCCATATATCCATCCATATATCCATCCATCCATATATCCATCCAACCATATATCCATGTTTCATAACTATTTTATATATACTCTTATCTCTCGGCTTATTCCTATATTTTTTTCTCTTTCTTTTTCTCTCTCTCTCTCTCTCTCTCTATCTGTTTTTCTTCTCTCTGTTTTTGTTTGTCTTTTATTTCATTTTTCACCTCTCTGACATTCTTCTTACTTCATTTCTACACAACTATCAATACTTCAAAAAACTTTTAATTCCAGATAAATTTTCATGTTTTCAAAATTATATTTTCAATTTTCCTTTTTAAGAATATAGAAAAAAATAAAAATAAATTGAAAAATAAAACGTAAAAAGTGTTGAATAGTTTCATTAACATGTTTCATACCATCAGTTGGCCTGTGAGTGAATATTTGACGGATGCTTCTGAAACATTCACTTTTTTAACTTTAAAAAATAAATTGAAATAAAAAGTGAAGAAAGAAACAAGTAAGGAGAATTCTAGAAACGGTTTTTAAATTTTAAAAAGGGCAAAATTTTAAAACATTGTGCTGCCGGCTATGAATTTCAATTCAAAATTAATCGTAACGAACGGGACTACCTACACGCTTGCATATTTTTACTAAAAATAGAGTACACATTCGACTTTTTGTAAAATAATTATATTTTTACTTGTAGTACCAATTTATAATCACACTTGCCATAGTACAATTTAAAAGTACCATTTTATTATCGGTCACTGCAACTGTAGAACCAGAAACTTCTATCGTTGCACCATTTCGCCAACCATATCATTGAAAACAATTTTTTTTGACAAAATTTATTAAATTTAACAAAATAAGATTTATCTTTATTTGCTAAAATATTCGCTATTTGAAAAGTTATGTATATGAAAAATAATAATAACAAATCAATGGATAAACTCTTAAAAATAAACAACATCTATTCGTTCGAACGCAACAACAACATTTAAACTTGAAAATGTTTATTGGCTGCTTGGCGACACGCAAATGCATTCATTAGCATGCAAATATAAAAACGCCATTCGCCAACTACTTTGCGCGTGCCACCAAAACACTCTCAAATTTGTCCTCTAACTGACAATTTCTAACTTTAGAATTAGCAAAACATAGAAATATTTAAAAAAAATTTTTAAAAATCTAAATTATTTCAGATTTAGAGTGAATTATTAATGATCCCGAAATAATGGTCGGTCATACTCTAGGTAATCGGCTTTTGGCATGGTTATTTCTATTTTTCCTTTATTGGACGAATTATTGTTATTACTGCTGGCACTATATCAAACATTTATGCGTACCATCCGAGTTAATTTTATAACGAGAAACCGTAGTTTTAATTAATTAATTAATTTAATCAATGTGATTACCAAAGCATTTATCTTATTTGTCTATTTTTATTAGATAATCCCTAGCCACAAGGCAGCCAGTTTGCATGAATTAAAAGTAAAAAGATTTGAATTATTTAAAACCCTTTGGTTTGGACGGTATTGTGATGAGAAAAATGACGATGACGACGATGTGATGGTGATGACGGTGATGATAACAACTAAGATGATTTTAATTTAATGACTAAACTATGTAGATTGCAGTGATGTTAAAAGGCAATATTAGAACGATGATGATAATAATTATTACAATAATAATTTTGACGATTGCTGGTACGTTGAATGTCATGAATTAATGATGAAGATGTTTTTTATATTAACGGTTCTTTCTTTGAGAATAACAGCAGTGATAATGACGATAATAAAAATGATGAAATAAAGCAATGGTGATGTTAATGGGCGATGATGAAACTGTAAAGTAGTGATAATAGAAGGAAGGAAAATGATAAGAATGATTAAAAGTTTTATTCTGCAAGACAATAGATCACAGCCTTTATAAAAAAAAGTAGAAGCAAGCCGATGAAACGCTCTCATGGCATCGCGACACGTCACAACGTTAATTAAAATGTTTTGTTTTCTTTTCATCACTTCCAATTGCTTTCTTTGTATTTTTTCATCAACTTTTTGTTTTTGTTTCAGCTCATTATTTTTTGTTTTTTTTTTACAAATTTTTCTTCGTTTGATTTTGTTCTGAAATGTTATCAATTTTTCAAAATTAGTTTGAAGACTTCTGAGATACACTAGAACAAACAATTTCTCAAAAATATATTTAATCTAATAGAATAAAAATATAAAAGTAGGACTAGTAGACAGCTAAACTTGTAACATAAGCAGGCAAATATTTATAAAAAATTTAATAAATATATTTATTTGGATAAAACTAATTTCAATTTTTATTCAACAAAACTTTTCTTGAACAAAAATAGCAAAAGTTGATTTGTGTAAATTTTTAAAGCTTTTTTGTCACCTTAGTTTAACGTAAACAAGATATTTTTTACAAATTTTAAGAAAAATTCGATAAAAACATCTAAACCCAGGCCAAAACAAAATTTCTAGAAAAACATTTTTTGTCAATTTTAATTTAAAATCTGTAAACAAACAACGGAATCACACACGAACATACATACATATAAACTCATTTCCAATGTTTGTGACAAGGCAAATTCCAATCCATTTTCTAAGAGAGGGTGAGTTGGATCACCACAAAATGTGAAGTTTGCAACCGAAGAAGTATTTTTGATAACGACTGAGATTGGAAGGTCATGGCAGACTTGGAGGCCATGGGGAACTATTCATCGTTCAAAAAGAATACAGGAGCGAGACCCGACGTGGTGGTAGAGTCGGTATCAACTGACACTGTTATTATAGTCGAACTGACTGTGCCGTTTGAGGTTAATATAGCAGCAAGTCACGCTCTAAAACATATCCAAGTATGAAGAGCTTGTTAGTGAGATACAACAAGGTGGGTTAAGTTGTTTGTTGTACGCAGTTGAGGTCGGTGCAAGAGGTGTTGCTGGTTGTTCGGTGTACAGCTTTTTGAAGGATTTGGGTTTGGCAGGTAAAAACGATCGAGTTGTATGAAGAACATAGGACATACAGCCAAGCAAGCGTCTTACTGGATATGGTTACGTAGGAAGAAAAAGGAATGCGTGTTTAAATAGTTAACAGACGAGCTTGTATGCACGTAAGACTTCCGATTACCCAACACTTCCAGATTCGACTTAGCGTGTTACTTGGCTCGTCGATATAACTCACATTGTGATAGGTTTATATGTGAACTGTCTGGCACGCCTACACAATTTTTCAGTATAAAAGAAGGTGATTTCAAAGCG